GTGCGAAGTCGTTTCGCAAAGATGAAAGGCGATCGCCGCATTTTGCTGGTCGGCAGAATATTCTGCCGGAGTGTTTCACAAAATATTCCTACGTCCGAGGCCTGCGACGTCACCAGACGTGTGATGTCACACCCGGCAGAATATTCTGCGGGGGCTGAAATATAGGCCTCAGGTGTCAACTCCATGGTTATTGGTTGCCAATTGCACTTCTCTTCGCGGTCGTTCGAATGAGCCTGACACCGGGACTTCCGGCCAGTCGCCATCATTCTGTTATGCACGGAAAAGTATGTTTATCTAGGTGTCTTCCTATTTTTACGATTTGTAAAGGCTGTTTTATTCCATAACCATTTGAATTTTATTTAAACGTTCTTGTTTATGCATTAAATGGCTATCGTATATGTCTTCCATCAGTTTTGATGCTCTCTGTCCCACTAATAGCAGAGCTGGAATATTGTTGTATCGGACGGTATGCGCGGGGCAAAATAGATGGGGCAAAGTGGCTAGCCCCAATTAGCCACAAATTTGTTCTATCAAGACAAACGTTATTGCAATTTAAATGCATCGTCATGCGTTTATTTCGGCCACTTTCGGTTACATGACTTACAAATGAAATGCACTGTTTTTCCATGCATGTCTGATGTCCTTGCATTGTTTAGCTACATGTGAAAAGATGACAAAATAAACATCCATCCTCGTTTAAACCACAATCAACGACTCTATTCTTGTATGAGGCAACTATCCTATTTCTCATTTCGGGGCAGCGAACTTACCGGTGTCCACTTTGCCCCGGGGGTTGAGGCAAGGTGGCCAACATGCATAGTTATTAAGTTTTGTCAATATCTCCTATATCTGAACGCCTTTAGAAATAAAGCGAAGTTGAAATGAAAGGCAGTTTAAAAGGGATCATGTTGACATAGGTAAGAAAGAATCTTTCCAAGTTTGAAAATGAAGCGGCGGCATGGAAACAAACTTAAAGGGACCCTCCCACCTTAACATTAGATTTGAGTTGAGGTAGCCAAAATGGGGTCCCTGGTTCACAATTACCGGTTTCGGCACTCACAACATCGAGAAATGCCTTAAATCGGAAATATTGAATTTCAAAATTGCAGCATTTTGATTCAGAGGGGCTAATGCATAGGAATACCCCTCTGAATGTGTGACGTCAGCGCAGATTTCTAACGATTTTTAAATGTTTGACTAAAACGTTTTGTAGCACGCGGTGGTATATGCTGCTTTGCGAGCAACATCTGCCGCGAACGCCGCACTTCCAAAATGAAGTCGCTAGGAACAGCGGAGATCCAAAAAAGTAAACAAAAGTAAAAGTCTAATATCTTGAAAACCGGTGAATATTTTTCGGTGAAATTTGGTACATATTCGTTTTTGCTCTTTCTGAATCGAGCGACATCACTTTCATCCTAATTCATTAATTTTTTTGAAGGTGGGAGGGTCCCTTTAAGGGTGGCCGCTTTGTCCCGTCTCCCCTAACCGGTGGTTAACACGCGCCCCCTACACCCCCTCCCCCTTGCGGTTTTTCGCGAATATCGGCGCGGATCGCCGCCTGGTGGCAAGACTTTGGCAAAAAGCTGGCATTTTCCCCATCCCAAGTTAGTTCGGTCTCGGTATTTTCCCACAGTTTTGGTTGGTACTTGGTTTGGTATCGGTATTCCGATTTTCTGAAACTGACGACACACCATGGTACCGAACCCAATGCACAGGGCTCGTCTCACCGCGTGATAGGCGTTGCCTTTTTTGTTGACAAAAAACAATAACAACTCGAAGGATATACTATCAGTCACTGGGAAACCATAGGACAGATTCGCGAGACTCCGCATAGGTATAGGATTTGGTTTATTGACTAAACTTTCCGCCCAGTCTGACTGCAATAAACCAAAGCTTGTAGGTATTTTCCCCAAGGCAAACTTTTGACTTTTGTTGCCACTTTGGGTGGATAATTTGCTAAATGATAAACCCAATCGAGAGAGTGAAGCATAAAACATGTCACGGAGTGGGACAGAGTGGGACACTGAGGAATAGAGAATTGGGTTGGGACGCGACAACTGAACAAAATGGGTAATGGGAATGGGTTGCGACTTGCAAATAGAAGGAAAATAGACCAAGGTTTAGGCTAGGACGCTGCTGGACTCGCTGGACTGGGACAACTACTGGACTAGGACGCCGTTGGACAAGAAGCTGAGACAGCTCCCTCCCGAATGAGACGAGTCCCACCCATCCGATCTGCGGTCGCACCGACCGGGGGCGTGCTCCAATGGAAACTGCTCGCGCCGCGTGCCGGGGTGGCCGTTGGGCGCTCAACTCCCGCGGCGGAGGCTGCGTAATGAACACGTGATAGTTACGGTCTGAGGACGAACGCGGCGGATGGGTGAAAACGGAGATGGACAGGAGAGCATGAAACGGGGCTTGAACCTCATGGGATGCAGAAACACAGTTTGGTGTTGACCAAAAAAAAAAATTAATAGTTCGTTTTATCCCAAAGTGATTTGGGTCATTGGGTCATTGGCCAGCTACCAATTGGCAATTTGCTATAACTTGGCACTCTCAGCTCTGAAAATCACAAAACTGGCTTTTCCCGTAACCATGAACAATTTTTGAACAAATTATTTAATGTTTCTCGTTAAAGGGACCCTCCCACCTTCAAAAAAGTTAATGAATTGGCACGAAAGTGATGTCGCTCGGTTCAGAAAGAGCGAAAACGAATATCTACCAAATTTCATCGAAAAATATTCACCGGTTTTCAAGATATTAGACTTTTACTTTTGTTTACTTTTTGGGATCTCCGCTGTTCCTAGCGACTTTATTTGAAAGTGCGGCATTTGTTGCGCGCAAAGCAGCATATACCACCGCGTGCTACCAAACGTTTTAGTAAAAGATTAAAAAATCGTTAGATCTCCGCTGACGTCACAAATTCTAAGGGGGCATACCAATGCACTAGCCCCTTAGAATCCGAAAACTGCAAGTTTGAAATTCCATATCTCCAAATTAAAGCATTTGTCGATGTTGTGAGTGCCCAAACCGGTATTTGCAGGCCATGGCCACCAATTTGGCTATCTCAACTCAAAACTAATGTTAAGGTGGGAGTGTCCCTTTAAATCAATGTAAGACTCCCAACAAAATCGTATTGAAGAGAAGGTAGGATTTTGTGGGAAGTTCACGATTTGACTTGGGGGGGGGGGGGCAAATGTTTGCCACTGGGGGGGGGGGGGGGGCAATCCACTCGACTGGGGAGGCAATTGTCTCTCCAGTTAACATGTTAGACGAGGCCCTGAATATGCTCCCAAATATCGTGTTGCTGAGAGCGTCACTGCAATCCTGAATCCTTCACTGAGGCGGAGATCAGCTGAACAGCTGATCTTGATCCAGATGGTGAATAGCCTTGGTCATCGCTTACCCAATGATCGGTGCATGAACTACGGCCTACATAGACATGGGGGGTCTAACTAGACATGAGCGTCTAAGATAGTTCGGAGGTGCGTAGTCGCGCTAATAGCATCTTCTAAGCTAGCAACACACATATGTATGGACGTTGCCTGACCAGTTCTCACCATTAAGCGCTGGTGAAAGAAGTTAAAGGAGAAGGGAGCGTCAATTGTAGACCCCAATCAGGGCGGCTCTTCCGCATTTCAACCGTCGCCCTAATCGTCATGACGAAATCATCTTTGAACTCTGAGCACTCTGCAAAAAGGGTGGCTAAGAGGTAAACTTACAGAATCATCCAGTGTCTGGGACTACTGTCCGTCGGCATTGGAGGGGCAAACTCGTATTGAAGACCCATAAAACTCGTGCAGGAGCAAAATTAACGAAAAATCAGGTCGACCAGCCTTTTTCCTGTCGCCGGTGCTCCTGCTCATCGGTCTGCGAGACCTGAGAGGTGGTGCCAAGAGCATCTATCCGATATCTTGGCCCGCGAAGGGCACATGGCTAGGGAACAGCTCTGACCTAAATCCAGCCAAAGTACCCCCGAGAATCGCGCAGCAGGGGCCTGACGAGACTGAGCCACCCAGCGACCCCGGACAGCTCGAAAAGGCGCTCAGGTAGACCTGGGCAAACATCAGCCCTTAGCATCTCCAGAACTTCGTGCCTAGCATACCTGCTGAATGCTGGTGTCTCACGCTGTGTCCAGCTTCATGGAGAATACATATACCTATTGACCGGTGTAATGAATCTGCTGCATTATTTTACTGAAAGGAAGGGACGCCTTAGAAGGCATCAAAACTTTTGCCGCACCCTATAATCAGAGCCATTTTGTGCATATCACAGCATTTTTACCTTGGTGAGCTAATGTTTCTTCTAGGTCAAGGCTAATCGAGGGAGAACGGCACTGAAACCAAGCAATAAACAGCAGTGTGAGACTCGCATTGCACGTGCAGCATCCCTCGCGTGTCAGGCTCCTTTCCTCGCTTGTTTGGGGGGCAGCCCAGAGCAGCAGACAGGTGCGTTGGGCTGTGACACGATCAGGGGGAGGCGTGGCGCGGTGACTCGGTGAGGGGGAGGGGGTCGGCGCAGTGACCCGGTAGGGAGCTGTGCAGTGACCCGGTCAGGGGGAGGGGTGGCTGCCGTGACCGATCAGGTCAGGGGGTGGCGCGGTGACCGGTCAGGTCAGGGGGTGGCGCAGTGACCCGGTAGGGAGCTGCGCAGTGACCCGGTCAGGGAAGGTCGGCAGAGTGACCCGGTCAGGGGAGGTCGGCAGAGTGACCCGGTCAGGGGAGGTCGACAGAGTGACCCGGTCACGTCAGGAGATGGCGCAGTGACCCGGTAGGGAGCTGCGCAGTGACCCGGTCAGGGGAGGTCGGCAGAGTGACCCGGTCAGGTCAGGAGATGGCGCAGTGACCCGATCAGGGGTGTTGGCGGCGCAGATGCTGCGCCAGCTCGCGCCGCGAAGGCAGAGAGGGAGAGAGAGCGCGCGCGGCGCCGTTATCGATGGCGCGTTCGCCGCTGCCGGCCGTTCGCCCTGGGTGCTCGGCCATGTATTGATCACATCGACCCGGGCAGAAACGGCGAGCGGCCGGTGCGTCGGCGGCCGCTCGCCGCCAGTGGTGCAGAGCGGTGACCAGCGGCGGCCGGCGGCGCGGCGCGGCGCGGCACCATGGAGCCTCCGACACACCAGGTGAGTGAGACGGGTGGGTGGCAGAGCGGGCTCCGCGGCGGCACCGGCCGGCCGCCGCCGGGCCGCCGCGCCGGCACCGGGACCCGTCCTGCACCGCCGGGCCCGGGGGCCGACCCAGCGGGACGGGCCGGGCCGGGCCGCTGCTGGCGGGACAACCGTGCACGGAAGGCACCTGCTGCTGACCCTATCTCGCGTGGCTCAATCAACGACCACTGCTGGTCTCGCTGAGCGTCACGTCCGTGTTTTGCGCGCACTGCATGCGCAATGATGCAGTTATCATTGCAGAACAGGGACGTAGCCAAGGGGGGGCGGAGGGGGCGCCCGCCCCTCCCTTGGGGTTTTCAGGAGGCCCCCCGAAAGGATTCAGGCCAACGTGGGCCGAAGGCCCACGTTGGCCTGAATCCTTTCGGCCTGAATCCAACGTGGGCCGAAGGCCCACGTTGGCCAAAAGCACGTCGGAGGCGAACGAAATTCACGCAGGAATCTAAAAAATGACGTCAGAACAATCAGGGCCCTCTGACCAGCCTGACAAGTGACAGCTAGGGCCCTTCTCATCTCCTGTGAATAACCACTAGTGTCTGTGTCTGACCGCTAGGGCCCCTCTGACTCCTCAGTAGAGAGGAGGCCCTCTGTGGGTAGGAGGCCCTGTGTAGAGAGGAGGCCCCCTTAGAGAGGAGACCCCCTGTAGAGAGGAGGCCCTCTGCAAAAAGGACGCCCTCTGTAAAAAGAGGCCCTCTGTAAAAAGGAGGCCCTCCGTAGAGAGCAGGCCCTCTGTAAAGAGGAAACCGTCTGAAATCAGAAGGCCCTTTGAAGAGAGGAGGCCCTCTGTAGAGGAGGACTCCCTCAGTAGAAAGGAGGTCCTCTGTAGGTAGGAGGCCGTCTGTAGAGTGAAGGCCCTCTGAAGAGAGGAGGCCCTTTGCAGAGATGAGGTCCTCTGTATAGAGGAGGTCCTGTGTAGAGACGAGATTCTGAAGAGAGGAGGCCCTACATATGTAGATAGGAATCCCTCTGTAGAGAGGAGGTCCCTGTAGAGACTAGAGAGGAGGCCCTCTGTAGAGAGGATGCCCTCTGTAAAGGAGGCCCTCTGGAGAGAAAGACACCCTCAGCAGAGAGGAGGCCCTCTGTAGATAAGAGGCAATCTGTAGAGAGTAAGCCCTCTGTAGATAAGAGGCCCTCTGTGGGCAGGAGGCCCCCGGTAGTCAAAGACAGCGTCGTATATTAAGTACATAGAGTGGAGGCCCACTGTAAGCAAATTACCTTCCGGCTTCTGTTCCCTGCTACTCTCTATAGAGAGTTCTCAGTTCTCACTATAACTGAGAACTCAGGAAACTGTACAGAATAGACTCCCAACCGCGTCGCCGCCCACTGTAGGAAGGGACAGGGGAGGAGGTCCTCTGTAAACAGAAGGCCCTATCCTATGTAGACAAATTATTTGTATAAATGCGCTCAGAGAAATCATGCCGGGTGCCGTCAACGGTTTTGCCGTCAACGGTTTTACCTGCAGTGGCCGCAAAAACTGCCAAAATAGCCGATATTTTCGGAAACCAGTTTTCGGCAATAACTTTCGTCTCAAAATTTGCACGAACTTCCCTTTACCAGCATCGTGTTCCTCTCGTCAAGACGTGTGAAATGAACTATCAATTGACCTTGAAAGGTCAACTTGAAAATTTGGCCTCAGGTCAAGGTCATGACCTGACCGATAAGGGCTAAGTTCCATATCAGTCCATCCGTATCGTCGAGCCAAACACAACTAAGGTGTATTCATCGCTCTAGCATGCCTCTATCAAAAGTTATTCGCGAAAAAGTCAGATACCATTGGTGACCTGAGATGACCTCAGGGTTATGAAAAGGGGTCACGGGTGCCATTTTCATGTTCAGTGTGTCAAAGATACTAGTAATTCAGTGTGTTAGAGTGTTTATAATGACTTCCGTCTAAAAACGCGACTTTCAATTTAAGGTCGCAAAATTGACCTGACCTTATGTCATCGATATCAAAATTCCAAGACATACATTTTTTGCATTTTGTCGCTCTTGTGCATTTGCATCTCTGAAAGTTTCAAAGCGTTGGTCACTCCGTGTAGCTTTAGCAGACATTGAAACTTATGTAGTGAGGTCATTTGACCTGACCTGGTGACCTGACTTTAAGTGACCAGGGTCTGAAATTTTCACAACATATGTAGAAATGATGTAGGATGAAGTGTGGCGCGCCGCCGTTTTTGAGATATTCACGGTAAACTGCAGGGGCTGTTTAACACCCCCCCCCCCGGCAGGGCGCGGGTTAAAGGGACCCTCCCACCTTAACATTAGATTTGAGTTGAGATAGCCAAAATGGGGTCCCTGGCTCACAATTACCGGTTTCGGCACTCACAACATCGAGAAATGCCTTAAATCGGAAATATTGAATTTCAAAATTGCAGCATTTTGATTCAGAGGGGCTAATGCTTAGGAATACCCCTCTGAATGTGTGACGTCAGCGCAAATATCTAACGATTTTTAAATGTTTGGCTAAAACGTTTTGTAGCACGCGGTGGTATATGCTATTTGCGCGCAACATCTGCCGCAAACGCCGCACTTCTAAAATAAAGTCGCTAGAAACAGCGGAGATCCCAAAAAAGTAAACAAAAGTAAAAGTCTAATATCTTGAAAACCGGTGAATATTTTTCGGTGAAATTTGGTAGATATTCGTTTTCGCTCTTTCTGAACCGAGCGACATCATTTTCATGCCAATTCATAAACTTTTTGAAGGTGGGAGGGTCCCTTTAATGCATGAACACAGCAGCCCATTTCTGTAATATATAGTTACCTGTGGCTGTGTTGGTATTTTTACGATGCATGAAATAACCCAAACCATTTATCAGACCGTGGTGATATTCCCATAGCCATGCTTCGCACAACTCATGATAATTCATTTGACCGGGAAATTAATATATACCTATCCATCGATTTGTTTGTTTCATCTACGGCGTAAATGAAGCAAACCACCTGGACCTAGGAAAATTTACTAACGAAACCATGTTTTACTTACAGCAAGTAAACGTGGCATCATTCACACAGAAAGAATTGATAACCGTATAGTTTCAATCTTGCAGACGTCAGTCAGGTCAGAATCGTGACAAGCCTATTGGAAAATATAATGAACTGTGTCCTGCTTTGGGTAAACGAGTCAAAATCACCCAATTTTTTCTGAATTACGTCAGATTAGCTGATCTGTAAGCACCCAGGTGGCATTTACTGACAGGGGCACCGGGAAGGATCATCTGAGGTGAGGTGAGGTCATCAACAGTTTTTAGCCAATAAATCACGACATGATGGGGCTAAATAGTTGTTAGTGTACCAAACCGTTCGCCTGGTCATGACGCGCCGATTGGTACCCAGCGTGACCTTCCTAGGTCAGATTTTGAAGTTGACCTATCTATGTAGGTCGTTATAAACCATATTATTTGTTATGACCTCTGGCGACCTCAATATTGACCTGACCCAAAAAAGTTGTTTACAAAAGTTGTAAGTCGTTCAACGAACTATCAAACGCCGTTGCCGTTTGTCGCTAGTCGCTACGATTCGTGCTTTTCGAGTTCTGACGAGGGCCAAAAAGGCCCCCGCCCGATTCAGAGTCTTTCAGAGCCCGCCCGGAATACGGTTAAGCGCTTGAACGATATATGATAATACACCAAGTGTTACTCTTGCCGTCATCCAGTATCCACCCATTCCTCGCAGATCCTCCCCCTCCTGCTGCGGTCCGGCCGCCGCCGCCGCCGCCGGCGGCGCCCAAGTTTTTTTTTTTTTTTGCCAATGCCACTCGGAGACTTGTGATATGTGTACCTATGTTTCTTACCGCTGCAGCGGTTAGAATAAAGAAACATACCAGTGCGCTGGCCATATGAAAGCTGAACAAAAGTCTGCATTATATTGTATATGTAATTATGTAGGCATGAGACCCTCTGTAGAAAGGAGGCCCCTTTAGGGAGGAGGCCCTCTGTAGAAAGGAGGCCCCCGGGATTCCTCCGCCCCTCCCTTGGCCAAATCCTAGCTACCTGCCTGTTGCAGAAAGCCTTGTAACATGTATGAGTAGGAGATGTTTGAAGTTTTGAGAACATTCTTATCCCGCACCGTAGACAGTGTTTACGGTTGCTTCACGTGCGAAGAGAGAAAATTATCAGATGTCGTTTAACTGATTTGTTAAATATCTAGTGACGATTAAAGGAAGGGTGCCACCTTCCGAAATTTTTGTTCTATGAATCTATTTTACTTATTTGAATTTTTAGACGTGGTTAGCGCGTCCACAATATACAAAAAACCGAAACATTGCATTTAATACATTGGCCAAAAAAAAAAGATCGTTGTTTATATCACCACTACAACTCAAGGTCGTTTGATGTGGCAGCTAGGACGGCTGGCATATCCTGTTGTCATGGCAACATATCATTCTGCCATTTGCATTGATGGCGCAACTGAGACAAAAAGATGAACAAATAAAAAGGAAGAAGATAACATGATTTGAACTAAGTTGTAGGTAACCAAGTAGGTAACTGTTGGCCATATTATAAGTCGAGTAAATAAGTCGAGTAAAGGTTTTTCCTTTACAATGCTTAAGAGATCTATGGAACCCTTCACCCTTCATGCAACTTACTAGAAAAACTTCCCAATTAAAATTTTAAAACTTAAGTGTATACCATAAAGAAAAAATATACCCTTTCAAAATGATAAAACATGCTTCAAAAGTATAACTTTTATACATACCTTTGCTGATTTCATGTTTTATAAAATACCCTTAACACGACGAGGAAATAGTGCTGAAGATTTTTGCCTGCCCGAATGCTGGCAGCAAAACTCGCAAATGATAACTTCACGTGCGGATTCAATGCTGACCGTCTCGAGCATAGGTAAGTGAAGCCGGTTTTTAGGTTCATGTGAGGCTAATCTTGTAAAAACTGCGTTGTGTCCAAAAGGTGGCACCCTTCCTTTAACAAACTGTTAAACGTCTATAGCAGGGGTCGGCAAATGGTGGGGCATGCCCCCTTTGGGGGTAATGGAGCCCTTTCGGTGGGGGTAATGAGGGATTCTGAGAAAGCCTATCTTTTTAGAGTTTGTAGCTCCAGTGATGGAGCCATCGTGACTGTTGCATTCCAGGGTTCAAAGATTAGCCCAGGCCAAAGGCACAGCACACATTGATTAGATACCAATTTCACGTACCTGCTCGCCTCACCATCTCACCCCTCCGTACAGTCGTTCAAAAGCAGCTGCAACTTTTAACCGTCGCCCGTCTGTTGGCGTTTCAACAGCCGCTAACGTAAGGGGGAGGAGTCGATCGGACCCCCCGCGGCCTCTCGGACTCTGATATGGAGCTGTGCATAAAAAAGACGAGCGTGCTACCCGTGACCATAGGAAGCCGCTGCTGCCCATTTTTAAGGTCCCTGGTCATTCCGTCTCATTCAAGAGGGCAATGATAAGTGTCGAGAAAATCGGGACCCGCTATAACTTCTTGAAGTGAGATTTTATGGCTCAAGATGATCTCCAGAAAAAGCTCATAAGCCAACGGTCATTATGGGTCCAGAGGCCAGTTTTACCAACAGAAAAATAGCCGCCTGCCGGAATTTTTGCCTAAAGATCGTTTCACATATGGAGCGTAAACGGTAAAGCCCTATCCGCTTACGAGCCCATCGCGTTTACGCTCCGTATGTGAAGCGGTCTTGAGGCAAAAATTCCGGCAGGCGGTTATTTTTCTGTTGGTAAAACAGGTCTCAGGTCATGATATTTTCCGGGCTGGTGAAAGAAAAAAAATGATGGGCTCGAGGGTACAATTTGGTCGTGATCCAATGCCTTTTACGTGAGCTTTTAACGAAAAACCACCCGCCGCCCCTATACGTACAAGGGTTAAATGGGATATAGCATAGGCGGCGGAACGGGGAGGGCACCGGGGCACCGTGCGGCGTGCACCCTTTGATTTTTGCATTTTAACATTAGCCCAGCCCTATGGGCGTTGCATGGAAAGAATGGGACCAAAAGTCGGCAGTGCTCCCCCCTCCCCCTTAATTGAAGGTGTTCCGCCGCTACTGGGATATAGGCATTAAATGTTTTGTGGAGGAAGTGTCATGTTTTAAATTTCATGCATTGGAAATGCACAAATACCCAAAGAGTTCCAGGACGGTATGGAATTTCAGTAAAATTAGTTGTGTCAGCAATGGGGTCTGGTAGGTGGGGGTAATGGCCCTGCCTGGCGCCCAAAAAGGGGGCACGACCCCGAATGACCTGCCGACCACTGGTCTATAGTCTGGCAAACCTAAGAAAGAACGGAGTTAAAGCGCCTGAATCACTTTGCACGTGTTTTGAGCACTTGAAATGTATGGCTCGGAGCGCTCGGAGAAGTTGTGTGAAAAGTTGTGAGAGAAAATATGCTCTCACATTATAAATGCACATGCATCAATGACCGCAGCACTTTAAATCCATTCTTTCTTAGGTTTGCCAGACTATAGTAGACATTTCTGCCATATTACCGTCTCGTTATTTTCACCAGTAACGCGCAGGGAAACGCAATGAAACATCATATTCCTTTTCTTTTTTAGTTCTATTTTGGACTTAATCTTCAATGTACCTGTCAATTTCAGACCTATCACATTGTTTGGACCGTTTTTCAAAGCTTCATCTGTCTCTGCTTCTCGTTGTCTCTGGCTCTGCTGAAATGTGTCATATTTTTATATAAAATGTAATTTTTTACCTTTAAGATCCCGAAAGATATCGGCGGTACGGGATAAAATTATTAAACCGCTCGTAGGTAGAAAAATCTTTTAAACGTCTCGCCTATCGGCTCGACGTTTAAAAGATTTATTCTATCTACTCGCGGTTTAATATAAATTGCATGATGCAAGTCTATAAATGCAAAACTTTAGGGTGTCGAGAATGGATCGAATATTTTGAATAAGCGTATAACACCAGAAACATTATTAGGTTAGACCGAAGCAAGACCAGGTAAAACGCCTCGCTGCTGTTTCTCAGAAATGGCAAAGTTATGAGAAAAAGTCATCTGTTCTATGAAACTTACACTATTGATTATTATGTGAGCAAACTTGAAGGAAGTTATGAGACCCTTTTGTGAAAATGTAGCCAAAAATGTGTTTTCGGAGTGATTATTATACTTTGTTGTCTAATCCTGCATCAAAGCGTTCTTTATTCTGCTTATCGATCAACACACCAGCCAAACGACTTTTATCTATTCAAACAACTATATGGAACGCTGGGTTCAGGGTTGGTTGGCGTTAAATTATATCTGGCTTGAACGCACGGCGACGTTCTCTCACCAATCCACATCGTGGGACGAAACGCTTCTGTATAGGTCGCGGGATGGGACGTTTTACCTCATGTGTTTTTCGTACCAGCCACCTCCTTATGTTCGGCAGCTAGGCGACCAGTAAATTTATTATATGCATCTATACCGGGTGAAATAAAACGTTCTGAACTTAACCCGCGCCCCGTTGGGCTCTGCCGAGCAACGCGCCCTGTTGGGGGGGGGGGGGGATTTGGCCTCCCCTGAGATCTCAAGAACCACGCAACCTAGCGACAAAGCGGCAAACGGTGTTGAATAGCCCTATAAGGGAACTACCTTGTGACCCAATTTTATTGACCTAGGTCAAACCGGTGACGCCACAGGTCAGGTCAAAGGTCGAATTTTCACCGTTTACAGGCATTTCAAGAAATGCGTTGTAAAATCGAGTAAAATGTATTTCATTGAAAATCATCGATGGGGAAATGTTCTTCAAACACATATTTTGCTATTTGAGGTCACTGATACCAGGTCAGGTCACAGATGTCAGGTCACTGGGGGGTCACAATATGAAAGCGTCGTGTGATACATGTTTTATGGTCCATTTTACATGACAAATACGATTATGTGGGTCAGGCAGCCTTTGGGGCCAGCTTAGGTCACGTTATGGTCAAGGTCAGGTCAAGGTCAGGTCAAATAAGGTCAAATTTCAAAGTTGATATTTTGCATAAAATAGGTATCAATTCGATGCAGCTCGTCACGGGGAGTTCAATGGTGGTCTTTGTTTTGCCTTACATGGCCTAGAATCGCTAAAAATTGAGTTAAAAAATTTGACGTCATCATTTTTGAACAGTTTTTTTCGCTATAACTTGGCCAAAAAACGAGATATCGATCTGAAATTTGGTATGTATATAGAAGAGCGCAGGGACTAACACATATATTCCGGTTTTTTTTTCGAAATTCGGAAAATTGTTTGGATTTTTTTAGTTTTCTAAAAAAATCAATTTCTTAAATTTTTTGGGGTCAAAAACCCAAAATTTTGAAAATCCGAGATAGCAGTTTTGTAGTGCCCCTTTTTGTCTACTAGACCATATAGGTATAGAATTTTGAAATTGCTTGGTAACTGTAGATTTGGTGAGCGTTTCAACATTGCATGTTTTTTGCTCATTTTTGCTCAAACATGACCTCAGTTTGCCCTCAATACCTCCTGACCTAAGGTGAGCTAACACTTGAAATTTGGTGTGAAGGTGTCAAATTGATGCCCGGGAAGGTACTGAAAATTTGGCGGCGCTGCGCGCCGCCGTTTTCTTGCTTTTCTGGAAAAACCACAGGGGGGGGGCCAAATCCCCCCAACGGGGCGAGGGTTAAAGCTTCAATTACAGTGCTACTTATGCTGTAGAAACTTGAAAATTTCGTCAGCAGCAGGTAACATTTCAGTCATGGTAGGCACGTTCCGCTCTCGCGATTAAGCGGTAGGTTTTGCATTTTGACATTTCCGGTTATATCTCAGAAGTCAGAAACTAACCGATCTACGATGAGGCCATTTTACACGATCATGGCCAGCTTGTGAACCAACAAGTCGATCGCATCTTCAGCACTTACAACCTTAAGACGACGAAGATATAGCCTGAAGTACACTAAATTTTCTAGTTGCAAAACCTACCGTTAAAACCCGCGAGACCTGTACCAAACTTCAAACACGTATGATTATTCCTTCTAATCTCCTTTATTGCATTGGAAGAAAACATCGACAAAATAAATATGTCCTCGATCAATTTTTCCTTGCGTAATGGTATGCGCGCGAGATTGGAGCGCTCCTCGTCCGGCGCGGAAGTTTGGTCGGCGCTTACACTAAGCCATGAAACTACTGGCCGTAATAACTTCCTTCACGGAGTTTCTATGATTGCCCTCAGCCCTCATAGTGTTAGCTGGCGCTGGTCAGTGCTCCTGTAAACAGTCAGGTTGGTTTTTGGCGACTTGCGTCTACCTGAACTGGGTTCAAGAGCTGTTCGGGATGACTGATGAGGACAATTGGATGAGGTTGTTTCTGCACTTCCATTGTTAAAACGTGGACACTGGACACTCTATAGATACTGTTCAGTTAAATCGAGCCCATCTGTTGCAATTTTTAAATAGATGATAAATGACGATTGATTGTTGGTTTTTGAGATATTAGTGAGAAACCGTAGGGGGTGGGTGTTCAAACACACCCCCTCCCTCCCCTCAAGAGGGCGCGGATTAAATTGTGAATGCCTCCTAAGGGGCAGATGCATTTGAAGGCCTCCTTAGGCTTTGTGACGTGAGCGTGTGAGAGGTGTGCCTAACGACTGAAAGGAGTGCCTTACCAGCGGCCTTCGATGGTGCACGTCCTGACGGCTTTCTGGCTGTTGCAGGGATACGGGCCGGACCAAATGTTCTGCCTTCGCTGGAGCAACCACCAAACCAATATGCTCAATGTTTTCAACCAGGTAGGTACCTACGAACCACCCGGCGCGGCGCCAGGTCACCGGATATCAGCTCAGACCCTAGTAGGTACTCACAGACAAAGACATTCTTAAAGCAATATAATTAAATTCGTCAAGCGTGAGCACATAGGTATTGTGAGAATCAAAGTTTTTCATTCAAGGTCTGGGAAATACGCACGGCTCAATTGAATTCCAACTAATGTAGGGCGTATACAACTATACGAACGCTGACCAAGATACGTGAATAAAGATTAACACGCGCACTGCAGGGGGGGGGTTGTTTTCAACCCCCCCCTGTGGTTTTTCGCAAATCGCGAGAAAACGGCGGCGCGTAGCGCCGCCAAATTTTGCATACCTGTTCTCCCAACTTTTGCACACCTTGAGTAAAAATTTTGACCCCAGGTGACCTATGGTCAGGTCACCAGGTCCGCATTGACGAGAAAAACACGATAAACGTCGAACGGAGTCTCTATCTCTATTCAATCTCAAGTTATTGAAGAAAAACCGCTGGTGACCTCAGGTGACCTAAGATGACCTGGAGATCACCTTCCAAAGGTCATAAGTGATATGTTTCGGTGAAATCACCAACAGGGACCTGTAATACTATGATCCTGAGCGTATTGAAGTCATAGGATGGCATTCAGAGTAAGTTGAAATTTCTCCCATTGACTTATAATGGGCCGGTCGCAAAAATGACCTGACCTTAGGTCATCGATATAAAAATTCCGAGATATACAAGTTGTAGCTCGTGATGACTTTACTATTTCCTGTGGGTTTCAAGATCATATCTCAACAACTGTGGGCTTGGTGGGATTGCAAACTTCGAAATTTACGTTTCGAGGTAGGGTCACTTGACCTGTCAAATTTTCAACTTGACCTTTCGAGGTCATATCATATATCATTCGATGCGCCTTGACGAGCTAAGAACGATGGCGTTCGAATCGATCCTCTGTCTTGTGTGCAAGACAAGTTATTCAAGAAAAACTACCGCGAAATTCCTGTTGTGAAAATCGTAACATTTTGTGTTCGGTGACCTCTGGTGACCTCGTTTTTGACCTGACCCAAAAATGATCTTAGTATTTCTTGTAGATCTCATCTCAACCTATCCAACGCCGTTTACCGCTTGTCGCTACGTTGCGCCGTTTTCGAGATCTCAGGGGGGGGGGCTGTTTTCAACCCCCCCCCCCCTGCAGTTCGTGTTCGGCTCAGACCCGCTGCAGTGCGCGTGTTAAGAGCTCCGCGCGTATCCCTTACGGAAAAGAAGCAGACCTTCGCCACATGAATGTCGCGGCTGCGCCCATCGCTTCCCGCCCAATGAGCACCGACTACCGAGCACTGACCGCCGTCCACGGCACTGACCCGCTACTGACCCGGCACCAACCCCGCGTGACGGTACCCGCGACACCAACCGACACCAACCCCACGTGACGCCACCCGCGGCACTGACCCGCTACTGACCCTGTACCGCCCCCACGTGACGCCGCCCGCGGCACTGACCCGCTAATGACCCGGCACCGCCCCCCGCGTGACGCCACCCGCGACACTGACCCCACGTGACACCGCCCACCGCACTGACCCGCTACTGACCCGGCACCGACCCCGCATGACGCCGCCCGCGGCACCTACCCGGCGTGACACCGCCCGCGGCACTGACCAAGCACCAACCCCGCGTGACGGCACCCGCGGCACTGACCGCCACCCGCGGCACTGACCCGCTACTGACCCGGTACCGCCCCCTCGTGACGCCGCCCGCGGCAGAGGTGTGCTTGACGCCACCCGCGACACTGACCCGCTACTGACCCGGCACCAACTCCGCGTGACACCGCCCGCGGCACTGACCCGCTACTGACCCTGTACCGCCCCCTCGTGACGCCGCCCGCGACACTGACCCGGTACTGACCCTGTACCGCCCCCGCGTGACGCCGCCAGTTGCGCTACAACGAGAGTTTCGTGGACGTGACACTGGCCGTGGACGGCCGGGTGCTGAAGGCGCACAAGATGGTGCTCTCCGCCTGCTCGCCCTACTTCCAGAAGATGTTCGAGATGACGCCCGACAAGCACCCGGTGGTCTTCATCGACCGCGTCCACTACCAGGTGAGCGGGGCACACCTCTGCAGTACCACCAGGTGAGCGGGGCACACCTCTGCAGCAGGTACAGTGTTACCATCAGGTGAGCGGGACACATCTCTGCAGTACCACCGGGTGAGCGGGACACACCTCTGCAGTTATACCTACACGGCTTACCACCCAGTGAGCGGGGCACACCTCTGCAGTAGGTACTTACCATCAGGTGAGCGGGGCACACCCGCAGTACACGGCTGGCTGCCGCTGGGTCGGCGGTCTGATTCAGTACCGCAGGGGCGGCGGTTTGGTTCGGTGCCGCGGGGGCGGCGGGGGTCGGCACGTCACCGGTGAGAGCAGTTCATTGATCAGCGTCGGTACGGTGAGCGGCACCGAGTCAGCCCGAGTCAGTCTACCGACACTCCACCGCGCCGGCCGCCAGTCCACCGGCTGCTCGACTTCAGTGTATGTATACCGCTCCGCTCACAGGATAGTGTTCAGTTCGTGTACCGCCCCGCCCCCAGGACATGAAGCGGCTGCTCGAGTTCATGTACCGCGGCGAGGTATCGATCGACCAGGAGACGCTGAACCGCTTCCTGAAGGTGGCGCGCAGTCTGCGGATACGCGGCCTCACCGAGATCGAGGAGCCGGTGAGCGGCGCAGTGCCCGGGAAAACGAGGGAGGCAGGACGGAGGTGGGGGGGGGGGCACAGGATCGGCGAAGAGTGAAGGTGATCGAGGCTGCCCTGTGTGAAAATCCTGTTTAATCGTAGGAGCGCTGGCGTCAGCCCTCTGTCTGTCTGTCTGACCGCGTTGTCCTTTGTCCTCCCCGTCTGTCCCCGGTTCTCCCATCTGTACCCTGTTCTCCCGTCTGTCCCCGGTTCTCCCGTCTGTCCCCGGTTCTCCCATCTGTACCCTGTTCTCCCGTCTGTCCCCGGTTCTCCCGTCTGTCCCCGGTTCTCCCGTCTGTCCACGGTTCTACCGTCCGTCCCCGGTTCTCCCGTCTGTCCCCAGTTCCCTCGTCTGTCCCCGGTTCTCCAGTCTGTCCCCGGTTCTCCAGTCTGTCCCCGGTTCTCCCGTCTGTCCCCGGTTCTCCCGTCTGTCCCCGGTTCTCACGTCTGTCCCCGGTTTTCACGTCTGTCCCCGGTTCTCCCGTCTGTTCCCTGGTTCTCCCGTCTGTCCCTGGTTCTCCTGTCTGTCCCCGGTTCTCCCGTCTGTCCCCGGTTCTCCCGTCTGTCCCCGGTTCTCACGTCTGCCCCCGGTTCTCCCGTCTGTCCCAAGTTTTCACGTCTGTCCCCGGTTCTCCCGTCTGTCCCCGGTTCTCCCGTCTGTCCCCGGTTCTCACGTCTGTCCACGTTGTACCCGGTTCTCCCGTCTGTCCCCGGTTCTCCCGTCTGTCCCCGGTTCTCACGTCTGCCCCCGGTTCTCCCGTCTGTCCCAAGTTCTCACGTCTGTCCCCGGTTCTCCCGTCCCGGTTCTCCCGTCTGTCCCCGGTTCTCCCGTCGTCTGTCCCCGGTTCTCACGTCTGCCCCCGGTTCTCCTGTCTACCCCCGGTTCTCCCGTCTGTCCCCGGTTCTCCCGTCGTCTGTCCCCAGTTCTCACGTCTGTCCACGTTGTACCCGGTTCTCCCGTCTGTCCCCGGTTCTCCCGTCTGTCCCCGGTTCTCACGTCTGCCCCCGGTTCTCCCGTCTGTCCCAAGTTCTCACGTCTGTCCCCGGTTCTCCCGTCCCGGTTCTCCCGTCTGTCCCCGGTTCTCCCGTCGTCTGTCCCCGGTTCTCACGTCTGTCCCCGGTTCTCCCGTCTGTCCCCGGTTCTCCCGTCTGTCCCCGGTTCTCCCGTCGTCTGTCCCCAGTTCTCACGTCTGTCCACGTTGTACCCGGTTCTCCCGTCTGTCCCCGGTTCTCCCGTCTGTCCCCGGTTCTCACGTCTGCCCCCGGTTCTCCCGTCTGTCCCAAGTTCTCACGTCTGTCCCCGGTTCTCCCGTCCCGGTTCTCACGTCTGTCCCCGGTTCTCCCGTCTGTCCCCGGTTCTCCCATCTGTCCCCGGTTCTCACGTCTGTCCCCGGTTCTCACGTCTGTCCCAGTTCTCCCGTCTGTCCCCAGTTCTCCCGTCTGTCCCCAGTTCTCCCGTCTGTCCCCAGTTCTCACGTCTGTCCCCGGTTCTCCCGCCTGTCCCCGGTTCTCCCGCCTGTCCCCGGTTCTCCCGTCTGTCCACGTCTGTCCCCGGTTCTCCCGTCTGTCCCCGGTTCTCCCGTCTGTCCCCGGTTCTCCCGTCTGTCCCCGGTTCTCCCGTCTGTCCCCGGCTCTCCCGTCTGTCCCCGGTTCTCCCGTCTGTCCACGTCTGTCCCCGTCCCTCCCGTCTGAGCGCGGTCTGGCCGGGTCGGCAGGGCGGCGGCGGCGGCAGCAGCCTCTCGCCGAGCGCCGGCACGCTGGAGGACCTGGCGCGGCACCGGCTGGCCGAACAGATGGCCGCCGCCGCGCTGGCAGAGTGCCGCCAGCGGGCCGCCGACGGCACCGGCGCGCAGGGCGCCGCGCGCCGGCCGGCGCCCTGCTCTCCGGCCGACCAGGCAGCGCGCAAGGCCGCGCGCCGCGACTCCGAGTCCCGACCGGGCCCCGGCTCAGAGCACGGCCCGGGCCCCGGCTCCGAGCAGGACCTGGGCCCCGGTCCGGGGTCCACCCCAGAGCAGGGTCTGGGCCCGGGCCCGGGCCCCTGCGCGGCGCCGGCCGCCACTCCCGACCTGGAGGCGCGCACGGCAGCACCGGCCGGCCAGCCCAACGGCGACCCGCTGCCCGACGGAGACGGCCCCAGGCGGCCACCCGGAGACGGAGCGGCAGCGCCGGAAGGCAGAGACGGCGCGCCGTCGGTGTCGGTGAGCGCTGACTGCTGTATGGTGTGGACAGTGTTGGTGAGCGCTGACTGCTGTATGGTGTGGACAGTGTTGGTGAGCGCTGACTGCTGTATAGTGTGGACAGTGTTGGTGAGCGCTGGTTGTTGTATGGTGTGGACAGTGTATGTGAGCGCTGACTGCTGTATGGTGTGGATCTGTCTCTGTGAGCGCTGACTGCTGTATAGTGTGGACAGTGTTGGTGAGCGCTGGTTGTTGTATGGTGTGGACAGTGTCTGTGAGCGCTGACTGCTGTATGGTGTGGATCTGTCTCGGTGAGCGCTGGTTGCTGTATGGTGTGGACAGTGTCTGTGAGCGCTGATTGCTGTATGGTGTGGACAGTGTCGGTGAGCGCTGACTGCTGTATGGTGTGGACAGTGTCGGTGAGCGCTGACTGCTGTATGGTGTGGACCGTCTGCTGATCAGATCACGTGCTGAGACTCAGGAGGACGGCGTTGACTCGCGCAGCCCTGCTGCCTCACACGATTTATTATTGAAATTTAGTCTGAATGGGCGAATGTTAGCCCGAAGGGCGAATATTTGTGGGTCCGGACGCCACGCTAAGCAGTGCTTGTTGCCAATGACACCATGGGCCCACCAACCAACCTCGCCGGCGCCCGGTTCACCGGTGATTTCTTGAATTGAAAGTTTAACGTACTGCGAGTAGATGGCGGCACGGTACTCCCGGGTCTTGCGTGGCCTTCTCTGACCAGAACTGTCAGTGGCCTAATAGGTATAAGAACACGGGTAAAACGACGTGAAGCTCACCAGCCGCGAGCTCGCTGCTACCTAAGTAGCTGACTCATGAGGACGCCTGATCCACTTTGCCACATGATGGACAATTGTGCAGTCTCGTCCAGAGCTAAGTCTGAGCTAAGTCTGTGCCCGTCACCAGAGACGTTCCCTCCCGCAGGTCGTGAAGAGGGAGGCGGAGGCGGAGAGGACGGCGTCAGACGACCCGCCGGTCCCGCTGGCACCCAAACACGAGCGAGGTGAGACGGGAGCAGCCACCGGCGGCGCCGGTCCGCGTGCACGGGCGGCCAATCACCGGGGACAGGGTAACGTAGCTGCCCCAATACTGGACTGGGGCGAAGGTGCGATACACAGCCAACCGGGGATGGCCGCTGTAATGTGCTGGCCGGTGTGTGTGTGATACGCGCTGCACTGTGGGTGTAATACACGCTGTATAGTCGACTACAGAATGATGTTCCACTCCTCAGAAGCTATCAGTTGACCAGAGCGCTAAGTCGTGCCGTTTATCACGCAATTAAGCGTGTCGATTGTGAGCATTGGGACAAAGCTATAATTTGTGAACTCAGCCCGTGTGATGCGCCACAACCTACCACTCCAGGCAAATAATTGCCTGTGAAAAGTGGAACATCATTCTGTAGTCGACTATACTGTGTGTGGGTGTGATACAAACTATCATCTACTGTGCTGGCCGGCGCGGTCCGACCCGGCGCGGCGCCGGCCGCCGGTCCTCTCCGACACTGACGCCGCCCCGCCGGCAGCCGACGTGTTCTGCCAGCCGGACTTTTGGATCTCGGACGGCATCTACGTGGCTGGCGAGAACGGCGCGTCGGCGGGCGGCGCGCGGCCGGCGGCCAGCCCGCCGCCGGCCGGCCTGGACGATACGCCGCTCTCGCCCGAGGACCAGAGCTCGCTGCTCGACTACGTGACACATGAGGACGGCTCCGTCACCTGCAAACTCTGCGGCGAACAGGTAACCAACCCTCCCCCGGCCGCCGTATCGCCAGCACAAACGGCAGCTCCACCCCGGAGGGCTCAGCGATCGCGGGGGAATGGACACAAACTCAACTGGCCGCGTGTGTGTCACAGGCAGAGGCACTGGGCTGCGTGGGCGGACTCACCGTCTAGCGGCAGCATCAGCTGTTTCAAAGAGCTCGAGTGACGAGATGTCCTCGCTATCCAGTCATTATCCGTAAGCTTTAGTTCAGCCACGTTCAGCTTCCCTCCCCGACCCTATGTTCAGTATGCTGCCAATGACTGTCTCCTGTCTCGTGACACCGATAAATCAAATCGTGCGGCCTTGAATACACCATTAACCCGGCAGGCGGTGGGCCTACCAGCCACCTTCCACGCGGTGGGGGGGGGGGGGGGGCACTTTTTTGCCCCCCCCCGTATCTCCGAAACTACTGGACGGATCCCGAAAATTCAAACGGCGTTCGATAGCCCTGTCAAATTTGTCGAGGGAAACCAAATTTCATTGACCTCGGGGTCACCGATGACGTCACAGGTCAGGTCAAAGATAAAATGTTTCACCGTTCACAGGGCTTCTAGGGAAAGCGCTATAACACCGAGTAAAACGCATTTTGTCGGAAATCAGCGATAAGGCGTCAGTTGTATAGTACATATGTTGCTATTAGAGGTCACTGGTCATACCAGGTCAGGTCACAGGTCAGGTCACCAAAGGTCACCAAGGGTCACCACATGAGCCCAACTTTACTAAGGTTATGCGATGCATGTTTTATGGCCAGTTTTTCATTTCCAACTCAATGGTGTTGGTTATAAGACCATCAGGTACGGTTTAGGTCACTTTCTGGTGGAGGTCAGGTCAAGGTCAGGTCAAAAAAGGTCAAATTTCAAAGTTGATATTTTTGCATAAAATGGGTATCGATTCGATGCAGCTCGTCACGGGGAGTCTAATGGTGGTCTTTGTTTTGCGCTACGAGGTCTAGAATTGCTAAAAATTGAGTTTGAAAATTTGACGTCATCAATTTTGAACAGTTTTTTCGCTATAACTTGGCCAAAAAAAAGAGGTATCGATCTCAAATTTGGTATGTAGATAGAAGGCGGTAGGGGCTATCACATATATTCCGGTTTTTTCGAAATTCAAAAAACTTTTTGGATTTTTTGGCTATTATATTCAAAAAATCTATTTTTTGATTTTTGGGGGTCAAAATCCAAAAAAAAATTGAAAAACCGAGATAGCAGTTTTGTAGCCCTTTTAATTCCACACCTTTTATGTCTGAAACATTTTTCTGTATCTCTAAAGCTGTAGGCCTGACAGCTCTTCCCGCGAAACCTTTTTTTGGGTCGAAAATGGCAAAAATGACGTCACTCTGACGTCATTAGCGGCCAACCTATCATAGCCTTTGGAAAAATTTTTGGTCACCATGTGCGCTAGCTGCTCCCGGGAGGTTACTGAAAGTTTGGTGACGATCGGCGCAGCGGTTCTCGAGATATATCGAAAAAACTAAAGGGGGGGGGGGGCAAAAAATTGCCCCCCCCCCCCCCCCCCACCGCCTGGAAGGTTAAGCTCAGGGAAATGCGGCACAAACCACAGGCTAGGTCACTGGGCGCACCTGTACGCATCTGTAGGATGACCAGCAGTCAGTGGTTGACCCCAGGGGCTCGTCTGTGCCGCAGGTGCCCAGCCGCAACCACTGGTATCGCCACAAGTACCGCACGCACGCCTGGCATACGTACCGCTGCGACGAGTGCGCCATCACGTACAAGTCCAAGCGCGGCTTCGAGGCGCACCTGGAGGCCAAGCACGAGCGACGCGGCGCCGAGCGCGAGCCGGCGCGCCGGCGCGACTGGGAGGGCGTGGCGCGCGCGCTCGAGGACACGCGCAAAAAGAAGGAGGAGGAGCTGGTGAGCGACATCATTAACCGGGTGAAGCGCGAGTGCGCCATGGAGGGCGAGGACTACACGCGCCGCGGCTACGTCAAACACTTTTGAGCGCGCGCCGCTGGCCCCGTGATGGCCCAGCCACGCCAAACGTCTGTACAAATCGCTGTCGGTCCGCTCCCCTTTTCAATCTCTGTGTGTACCGTGTCGGCTGGGCGGGGCCGGGCGCCGGCAGTGCTCAGCGGCGCCCAGCCCGCCGCCGCCGGCCGCGGCGCCGGGCCGCGGGCCACTCGGCCCACCGGCCGGCAGCAATTTAAATCATACTCATATTGTCCTTTTCGTGTAAGATACTTAGCTGTAGTCGGTGACATTAGCTCAATCATACAGAGATTACATTTTACCATTCTTATGGCGGTGCTAAAGAGATTACAATTTCATCAAGAGAACACTGTGTATTTGGAGTTGCCAGACGGTTTGACATAACGCGGTGCGATGAAAGACACGGCCGGAAGCGGGGCGCTCACCGAACCTAACAGGAAACCACAAACGGCGCCGGATGAGCCGCTTCGCCGCAAAACGATCGGCGTGACTAGAGAACTGCACGCGGGAACGGCTGTCCCGTCCTCACTGGGGATTTGTACTGCTGGACGGCATCGTGTATCGACTGTGGCCAGCGCGGCGCCTGCAGCCGACTGACCTGCCGGGCCGTGCGCCGGTCCGCGCGCGGCGCTACAGCGGCGGCAGGCCGTGCCAGGCCAGCCAGAGGGCGGCGGCGGCCAGCAGCAGTGCGCGCAGCGAGCGCCGCCAGTGGGCCGGCCGCGCTACGCGTCCCCCGGCGGCGCGGCCGGCTCCGAGTCGCTCTCCTCCGAGTCCGAGTCGCTGCTGGACGAGCCCGTGGTGTGGCTGGTGCGCGTCTCAGTCTCGTCGGCGGCGCTGGAGTCGGCCGCCGCCGCGGCAGAGTTCCACTGGCTGGTGGACAACGTATTGGCAGAGCCGGACGGCCTGGCCGGCAGGGCGGGGAGGTCAGGGCGGGGCGGGACGGTCAGGGCGGGGCGGGGCGGGGCAGTCGGGTCGGCGGACACACAGTAACCACTGTCGTCAGAGCAACCAATGTCAGTACGGCCAGAGATACTCAGCCCTGGTATATCCGGTCCTTCTGAGAGATCCTATACATACAATATGTAACCAAACAAGAACACACACACGATCGTCACTGCAACTCGATAATGTACCGCCAACTCAATTGGGAGCCTCTCGGGCGGCTCAGCCGGCGCCCGCCAGTCTGTGGCCGGTATGGACTGTGGCGAGTATGGCGGGAGGCGGGGCCCTACCTGGCGTCCACCGGGTCTATGGTCGGTATGGACTGTGGCGGGGCCCTACCTGGCGTCCACCGGGTTTATGGTCGGTATGGACTGTGGCGGGGCCCTACCTGGCGTCCACCGGGTCTATGGTCGGTATGGACTGTGGCGGGGCCCTACCTGGCGTCCACCGGGTTTATGGTCGGTATGGACTGTGGCGGGGCCCTACCTGGCGTCCACCGGGTTTATGGTCGGTATGGCGGGAGGCGGGGCCCTACCTGGCGTCCACCAGGTCTATGGTCGGTATGGACTGTGGCGGGGCCCTACCTGGCGTCCACCGGGTTTATGGTCGGTATGGCGGGAGGCGGGGCCCTACCTGGCGTCCACCGGGTCTATGGTCGGTATGGCGGGAGGCGGGGCCCTACCTGGCGTCCACCGGGTTTATGGTCGGTATGGCGGGAGGCGGGGCCCTACCTGGCGTCCACCGGGTCTATGGTCGGTATGGCGGGAGGCGGGGCCCTACCTGGCGTCCACCGGGTCTATGGTCGGTATGGCGGGAGGCGGGGCCCTACCTGGCGTCCACCGGGTTTATGGTCGGTATGGCGGGAGGCGGGGCCCTACCTGGCGTCCACCGGGTCTATGGTCGGTATGGCGGGAGGCGGGGCCCTACCTGGCGTCCACCGGGTCTATGGTCGGTATGGCGGGAGGCGGGGCCCTACCTGGCGTCCACCGGGTCTATGGTCGGTATGGCGGGAGGCGGACTCGACTCCGTTCGGTTCGAAATCTGCCGAGGTAAGAAACAAAATGTCAGAAAACACGTCGTAAGAAACGCTGGCATGTTACCTGCAGCTGTGAACACAGTTTTACCAGGCAGACAGGGCATTGTGACCCGACACGATCAGACAGACCACTAGCTCGGTATGTCGCCCAACTCACCTCGGAAGTGTCGAAGCTGTCTTGTTTGGGTGTGGTCGAGCCCGAGCCGATCTGAAACGCACGGCACCAGACGCCCGTGAGGTGAAACGGTGGCACTCGCACGGAACAAAATGTGAATGGAAAGCGACACTCGAACGAGTACATAGCACAGTTGAAATTAGCGCAACTCAAAATAAAGACCAAACAGGAGTCATAGAGATAGAGGGCAGCGCGGTGAGCCGGTGACAGGCGCCCAGTCGCCGGTGAGTTCTGTGCCCGGACCGCCCCCAGCCGCCCACCTGAGGTATCGGCGGCGACTCCGGCGGCTCGGCGGCGCGCGCAGAGTCGCCCGACAACGGCCGCGACATCGGAGTGACGAACCCGTCCTCAGCGGGTCCGGCCGGCTGCAGGCCGGAGCCGGAGCCGGAGCGGGACACCGGCGGCTGGCGACGCGCCGACAGACGGGCCGGTCAGATGGGACAGGGAGGGGCCGGTAAGACGGTACACGGATATACATACAGGGGCCGGTCAGACGGGACTTATACTATACCGGTTAGACCAAGAGAACGGTCAGACATACAAGGTCAAGCACCAGTCAGACGGAACATACATACACCATAAATATACCGGTCAGATACACCAGGTACACCATATATGTATACCGGTCAGACATACATATACCGGTTAGACTGATACAGGGACCGGTCAGACATACAGACTAGTCAGACTGATACAGGGACCGGTCAGACTGATACAGGGACCGGTCAGACTGATACAGGGACCGGTCAGACATACAGACTAGTCAGACTGATACAGGGACCGGTCAGACTGATACAGGGACCGGTCAGACATACAGACTAGTCAGACTGATACAGGGACCGGTCAGACTGATACAGGGAGCGGTCAGACTGATACAGAGACCGGTCAGACTGATACAGGGAGCGGTCAGACTGATACAGAGACCGGTCAGACATAGACTAGTCAGACTGATACAGGGACCGGTCAGACTGATACAGGGACCGGTCAGACATACAGACTAGTCAGACTGATACAGGGACCGGTCAGACATACAGACTAGTCAGACTGATACAGAGACTGGTCAGACTGATACAGGGACCGGTCAGACATACAGACTAGTCAGACTGATACAGGGACCGGTCAGACATACAGACTAGTCAGACTGATACAGGGACCGGTCAGACTGATACAGGGACCGGTCAGACTGATACAGGGACCGGTCAGACATACAGACTAGTCAGACTGATACAGGGACCGGTCAGACTGATACAGGGACCGGTCAGACTGATACAGGGACCGGTCAGACTGATACAGGGACCGGTCAGACATACAGACTAGTCACCCATACAGGGACCGGTCAGACATACAGACTAGTCAGACTGATACGGGGACCGGTCAGACATACAGACTAGTCAGACTGATACAGGGACCGGTCAGACATACAGACTAGTCAGACTGATACAGGGACCGGTCAGACTGATACAGGGACCGGTCAGACTGATACAGGGACCGGTCAGACTGATACAGGGACCGGTCAGACATACAGACTAGTCAGACTGATACAGGGACCGGTCAGACTGATACAGGGACCGGTCAGACATACAGACTAGTCAGACTGATACAGGGACCGGTCAGACATACAGACTAGTCAGACTGATACAGGGACCGGTCAGACTGATACAGGGACCGGTCAGACTGATACAGGGACCGGTCAGACATACAGACTAGTCAGACTGATACAGGGACCGGTCAGACTGATACAGGGACCGGTCAGACTGATACAGGGACCGGTCAGACTGATACAGGGACCGGTCAGACATACAGACTAGTCAGACTGATACAGGGACCGGTCAGACTGATACAGGGACCGGTCAGACATACAGACTAGTCAGACTGATACAGGGACCGGTCAGACTGATACAGGGACCGGTCAGACATACAGACTAGTCAGACTGATACAGGGACCGGTCAGACATACAGAGACCGGTCAGACTGATACAGGGACCGGTCAGACATAAGGGACCGGTCAGAGTGATACAGAGACCGGTCAGACTGATACAGGGACCGGTCAGACATACAGAGACCGGTCAGACATACAGACTGGTCAGACTGATACAGGGACCGGTCAGACATACAGACTAGTCAGACTGATACAGGGACCGGTCAGACTGATACAGGGACCGGTCAGACATACAGACTAGTCACCCATACAGGGACCGGTCAGACATACAGACTAGTCAGACTGATACGGGGACCGGTCAGACTGATACAGGGACCGGTCAGACACAGACCGGTCAGACTGATACAGGGACCGGTCAGACATACAGAGACCGGTCAGACTGATACAGGGACCGGTCAGACTGATACAGGGACCGGTCAGACATACAGACTAGTCAGACTGATACAGGGACCGGTCAGACTGATACAGGGACCGGTCAGACATACAGACTAGTCAGACTGATACAGGGACCGGTCAGACTGATACAGGGACCGGTCAGACATACAGACTAGTCAGACTGATACAGGGACCGGTCAGACTGATACAGGGACCGGTCAGACATACAGACTAGTCAGACTGATACAGGGACCGGTCAGACTGATACAGGGAGCGGTCAGACTGATACAGAGACCGGTCAGACTGATACAGGGAGCGGTCAGACTGATACAGAGACCGGTCAGACATAGACTAGTCAGACTGATACAGGGACCGGTCAGACTGATACAGAGACCGGTCAGACATACAGACTAGTCAGACTGATACAGGGACCGGTCAGACTGATACAGGGACCGGTCAGACTGATACAGGGACCGGTCAGACGGGCCCGCACCGGTCGGACGGCGGCGGCCCCTATATTGTGGGTGGTGCTCCCCTCAGGTTAGTTTTGGTATCTAGTACATTCGGCACCTGTACGGTCAAATGGCTAGGGCCTGCACCGTACCCTAGTCTCTCACTATTCCTGCGCCGGCAGCAGCGTCCCCGTTCCCCGGCCGCCGGCCAGCCGGTGCACGGCCCGGCCCGGCACCGGCGGGGGACCCGCCTGTGTCTACCGGTCGGTGCACGGCCCGGCCCGGCCCCCGGCGGGAGGACGCACCTGTATCTCGGCCGATGGCCGGCGACTCTGCACGCTGGCGGCGCTATCCCGGCGGCCCGGCGGTGGCCGGTCGTCCCGCAGCTGCTCGTACCGGCCGCCCGCGTCGCTGTCCAGACCCTCTCCGCTCTCCACGCGGTGGATGGTGGTCGACTTGATCAGCGAACTCTGGCCTGGAACCAGAACGGACGGGGGGGGGGGGGCGTCAGAGCCGCCTGACTCTGACCTGAAACCGGGGGCGGAGCCGCTCTAGCTGCAACGTAGAACCGGACGGGGCCAGCACCGCGTGAAAAGGGACGGAACCGCGAGCAAAGACGAACAGCGACCGACACAGGTAAGACAGCGTATGCGTCTAGCTGGTACATAGCAGCACCGCCCAGACTCTCGTAACACACCACGGTCACAACGTACTACGTACGATCGCAAAATATATACGGTGGTGAGTGGCACAAGCATTTCATTCGTCGTTATAAGCGCTTGGCGACTGAAGGGGTAGAGCGAGCAAACGCCATTACAGAAACACCATAGCAGGCTGGCACGCGTGAGTGAGTGAGTGAGTGAGTGAGTGAGTGAGTGAGTGAGTGAGTGAGTGAGTGAGTGAGTGAGTGAGTGGGTGAGTGAGTGAGTGAGTGAGTGATTTCGGGCGGCGTCGCGGCTACTCACACTGTCCGCGTCGGGTGAACCGCTCCAGAATATGTTTACTGGCGTTGGCCTTGAACTTAAACTTGCGCCCACCGTGGCGAGGCCGAAAATCCTCCTCCTCCTCGTAGCTGTCGGACAGACACCACACGCAGCAGCGCACACGCATAGTCAGCTAGTGAGTCGCGTCAACAGACGAATGAACAGTGTAAGAGGACCAGAGCTCAATGAATACACACGCGCCTCTCATGATCAACAAGAATTTAGATGCCATGGAAATCGAAAGATCACGTTTCTACCAATCATGATTGAGTGTAAAAATGATAACAACATGGCCGTGAAATCTAGTCCCGCCGCCAATGTCAGTTCCTCTGACCCCCTCCCCCCCCCCCCCCCGCCTCCCCGCCGCCGCGCCGGTCCCCTGGTAGCGGGCGCGCTGCCTCCCCGCCGCGGTCACCTGGTAGCCTGGTAGCGGCTGTGCTGGCGCGGCGGCGGCCAGTCGGCGCCGTCGCGCGGCCAGTCAGCGGCCGGGCCGCCGGGCGGCGCGCGCCGGCGGCTCGACGTCGGCGAGTCGGAGGCGGCGCGTGGACGGCTCGCCTTCTCGGCCGCCAGCATGCGCTTCATCAGCTGGGCGTCGACGGTGGCGCTGGTGCAGCTGGGTCGGCCTGGCGGGCAGGCGCGGTCAGCGCGGCGCCGCCGGCACACACACAGCCCTCCCGGCAGCCACACAGCTGACAGCCAAATCAACCGGGCACACAGCGACGCCCGATGGCGGCGATGGCGTATGGACTATGGAATCCAAACACCTAATGGAATATCATGCCACATAAATACACAAATAATCCCGGACTTTCACTGGCTGCCAGAGACGCCACGTGCCTCCGTCGTCTGAAGACTTCCTCGTCGCTCTGTCCAAGCTTTGGTCCAAGCTCTGTCTATTTCTTTCTGTCAACTCAACGTTTCGTATGACAGCAAAAATTCGTTCAAGAAAACTCGTTCAACGATCAGGTAAGGACTTCGACTTTAAAAATACTCACATTTCTCAGATCTATGCGAAACGATTGATGAGTTTTTGCTAAATGCTACGCCATCTCGGATTCAGACACCAGTCGGCGCATGGTAGCGGGTCGACCAGCCAGTCACCCCCCCCCCCCCCCAAGACATCCTACCCACCCTCGATCCACCGCTGGCCGGTGACCGGGTCAGCCCCCCGCCCCCCCCCCCCACACACACACACATACTTTTCGTGCCGAGTGTGACGAGGGAGCGCGACATCTCGGCGCCTCGCTGCATAATGTCCTTGGCGAACAGGGCCAGCTTGCTGGTGCGTTTGGAGGGCAGCGCGGCGAACTTGGTGAGCCGCTGGTTCAGGTCCTGGTCCACCTGACGGCGCAGGTCCCCGAACCCCAGCACCTGGCGACGCGGCGGCGGCGGCCCGCCACGGTATGTCAGTACGGACGGACGGCGCCGCAGTACGGTTAGCAGTCAGTACGGACGGACGGCGCCGCAGTACGGTTAGCAGTTAGTACGGAAGGACGGCGCACCGTCCGCCACGGTATGTCAGTACGGACGGACGGCGCCGCAGTACGGTTAGCACTTCAGAGAGAGCAAAAATTAATATCTATTAAATTTCAATGAAAAATATTTACCGGATTTTGAGATATTAGACAATTACTTGTTTATTTTTCGGAGCCTTCGCTGTTCCTACGTCACTTGGAAGCAATAATTTGGCATCGCAAACAGCATATACCACATTACCACCACTGCTTCACAATTCACAAAGATGTTAGTATAAGATTTTAAAACTGCTAGAACCGCGCTGATGTCACAAATTCAGAGGGGGTATTCAAATGCATTAGCCCCTCTGAATCAAAAGTGCTGCAACTTTGTTTGTTTGTTTATTGGGGCTTAACCCTCGCCGGCACAGGCCATTTTGCGTCCTTCGACGGCACAAGGGGGGAGGGGGTTGGTACGACCCCCCTCGCGTTTGGCCCCTGATCGAGCTAGAGCTTCGCGGAAAAAACGAGCGTGTGTCCCGTCACGAGAGGAAACCGATGATACCCAAGTTTAAGGTCCTAGGTCATCGGGTGACCTTCCAGGTCAGGTCAATAACCCGAAAACCGGGAAAATCGGGACCTGTTAGAAAGTCGTAAAGTGTGGCTGCTATGTGGTTTTCCGGGGTGCTAATCACGAATATCGCGTTAGTTTTGATCACAGATGATGTCTTTAAGCATTCAGACCAGGTCGGGTCAGGTCAGGTCAGGTCAACCGGTAGGGATTGTGACGGGTATTCGTAATACGTGTCAACCGCCTCTGACAGCTACGTAACATGTTACGAAGGCACCAAAACTACTTCGTAAATGTTCAAATGGTTGCTAAATTCGAATTCAGCTCCAAAAACTAGCCTAGAAACATGTAAAACTCGAAAAAGTGAACCGAGGTCACCTGAGGTCACCAACGGTCAATGACCTGACCTGACTTTCAGGTGACCTTGACACCCACCCTAATGTATGGGAGCAACATCAAATCACATGTTTGAACGTTTGAAACCACGAAAAGCTTGCAAACGCGCGGCTAATGCAAGCCGACATACGCGATTACGGCCAAACATGGTCTCGGAAAAGAGGTCACAGGTCAAAGGTCATTTGGGTCACGGTCATGAAATTTTCAGGGTAGGTGTAAAATTGATCAATGCGAGGGTACTGAAAGTTTCGTCGCGATCGGCCGCTTTTTACGCGACGCAGAGGATTTGCTGATATTTGTTTCATTACAAAGCTGAAAATTTCACCCGTCACCGGCACGACTACCACAGGTTTTTGGTATTATCCAGAAACCCGCGCACGAATACGAAAAACATCCGCTGCACCCGTTAACAGAATGCATCCGTGGTTGTATGTGCACCCGCTAGCGGATTTCAATAAAAAAAATCTGCTCTCTAGCCACTTGTTCCTTTATTTGAACATTCCTCCTTTTTAATGAGCCGGTTAGTGAACGACGAAAAAAACTATCCTTTAGCAGTCTTCTTAAAAAAAACATTTTTTGAGCCAGGCTGTCCCCCCCCCCCCCCCTCCCATGACCTGAGAACGCCGTTCAGAAGGCTTCTTCAGAGTATTTATAATCAGACATGTGCATGGATCCGAGAAAATGGATCTGGGATCTGATCCCACGGATCCTGATCTCGGATCCGTCGGGATCATAGATCCAGCTCTGTAATTTATCGAGAGATCCATAGGGATGATCCGAGTCTCATTTTTGCTTGAGATCCAGTGAGATCATAGATCCTCACTTATTTTTTGTTAACACATATATCCCAAAAAAGCACTTGTTTCAACTCACAAACGTTCTGTTTTAGTGATTTTATGTGATCGCACGTCATAATCCATAGTTTTGTGTCACTTACTGACATAGAAACCCTTTAAAACATGGTTTCAAATGTGGTGCATGGTGGGATCCACTCAGATCATAGATCCATGTTCTTAATTTATCGTCAGATCTTATGAGATCATAGATCCAAGATGTATTTTTCACGCCGGATCCGGTGGGATCATAGATCCCAACCTGTACTTTGCTTCGAGATCCACTGAGATCATAGATCCATCACTCGGATCCATGCACATGTCTGTTTATAGTCACCGTGCTTCAGAGTAATGTCCGTCAAGACAGCCCATATTCAGCCCAGATTCAGCCCGGATTCAGCCCAGATTCGGGACACCTCCGATCAAATTGAAACTCGCACACAATGTAGGTCCTGACATGCCCAATCCACAGTCCGAGTCATTCGGTGGCACTCCCAGCCGTTTGACCTACAGAGGTCAGCAAAGGTCACGCGGCCCAAATTTGCACAGCAGATTGTGGCCCACCCAGTAGAGCTAGAGCGCTAAAAATGGCACCAATCGACTCGCCAGCATCTAATCTTAGTTTCCCAATACCCATTTGACCTCTCAAGATCATGCGATGACCTAAGGTCATTTGTGGGTTATGTCGAAAATACACTTGCACAGCAGTTCTCGAGTAGAGAGATTGACCGAATTCCAAATCAAATCACGTCATCGGGTAGCCCATAGGCCGTAGTAGCTTTCCTTAGAAACCGCTTCTCGATATGTGACCCCGTTTGACCTCGGCAGGGCAAAATGTACAAATAAACGACACTCCATACGTCGCAGCCCAGATTCAGCCCAGATTCTGGACACCTCCGATCAAGCTGAAACTCGCACACAATGTAGGTACTGACATGCCCAATCCACAGTCCGAGTCATTCGGTGGCACTCCAAGCCGTTTGACCTACAGAGGTCAGCAAAGGTCACGTGGCCCAAATTTGCACTGTCGGGATTGTGGCCACCCAGTAGAGCCAGAGTGCTAAAAAAGGCACCAATCGACTCGCCAGCATCTATCCCTCTACTCTCTCAATCTCTCTACTCGAAAACTGCTGTGCAAGTGTATTTTCGACATAGCCCACAAATGACCTTAGGTCATCGCATGACATTGAGAGGTCAAATGGGTATTGGGAAAGTAAGATTAGATGCTGGCGAGTCGATTGGTGCCATTTTTAGCGCTCTAGCTCTACTGGTTGGGCCACAATCTGCTGTGCAAATTTGGGCCACATGACCTTTGCTGACCTCTGTACATAGGTCAAACGGCTGGGAGTGCCACCGAATGACTCGGACTTTAATTGGGCATGTCAAGACCTACATTGTGTGCGAGTTTAAGCTTGATCGGAGGTGTCTCGAATCTGGGCTAAATCTGGGCTGCGACGTATGGAGTGTCGTTTATTTGTACATTTTGCCCTGCCTAGGTCAAACGGGGTCACATATCGAGAAGCGGTTTCTAAGGAAAGCTACTACGGCCTATGGGCCGTAGGTGATGTGCTTTGATTTGGGATTCGGTCAATCCCTCTACTCGAGAACTGCTGTGCAAGTATTTTCGACATAGCCCACAAATGACCTTGGGTCATCGCATGACCTTGAAAAGTCAAATGGGTATTGGGAAAGTAAGATTAGATGCTGGCGAGTCGATTGGTGCCATTTTAAGCGCTCTAGCTCCACTGGGTGGGCCACGATCTGCTGTGCAAATTTGGGCCACGTGACCTTTGCTGACCTCTGTAGGTCAAACGGCTGGGAGTGTCACCGAATGACTCGGACTGTGGATTGGGCATGTCATGACCTACATTGTGTGCGAGCTTCAGCTTGATCGGAGGTGTCCCGAATCTGGGCTGAATCCGGGTTGGACGTATGGAGTGTCGTTTATTTGTACATTTTGCCCTGCCGAGGTCAAACGGGGTCACACTCACATATCGAGAAGCGGTGTCTAAGGAAAGCTACTACGACCTATGTGCTACCCGATGGTGTGCTTTGATTTGGAATTCGGTCAATCCCTCTACTCGAGAACTGCTGTGCAAGTGTATTTTCGACATAGCCCACAAACGACCTTAGGTCATCACATGACCTTGAGAGGTCAAATGGGTATTGAGAAAGTAAGATTAGATGCTGGCGAGTCGATTGGTGCCATTTTTAGCGCTCTAGCTCTACTAGGTGGGCCAAAATCTGCTGTGCAAATTTGGGCCAAGTGACCTTTGCTGACCTCTGTAGGTCAAACGGCTAGGAGTGCCACCGAATGACTCGGACTTTGAACTGGTCATGTCAAGACCTGCATTGTGTGCGAGTTTCAGCTTGATCGAAGGTGTCCCGAATCTGGGCTGAATATGGGCTGTCTTGATGGACATTTCAGAGTAGGGTTATGGCGGAACTTTGCTTCGTTGTGGTTTTACGCGTCACACACACTGATTAACAGTGATAAGAGCCCACAAATCACTGGCAGACCCCAGGCGCAGGTATCCGCCTGAGGCGGTGGACGGGGTCAAGGGAGAGCGATACGAGCATAACCTTTGACCGGCCTCCACCTGTTACGACCAAGTTGTCAGCCGCTGGCGCCTGCGTCATATAGCAATTTTCCCTCTACCGCTGGCGTAGAATCGTATTACAGCGTACTTTTTATGATACAGGCCATGGCCTCACTGCTGGGTCCTCAAACTGAATGGAATAGCTCGCCGAGTCGCCGCAGCCCACGACGCGATACTTTCAAGAGAGACTATACCCATAACCATTTCGCACGTGCAAGGCCCACCCTCTCGCTCGCTCCGTTTGTCGCCCTATAAGGCGTTTTACTGGTATTACGAGCGAGCGAGCACAGCGAGCGAAGCGAAGTCTTTTCGATACATATAACGGAAAAATATCAGTATGAGCGACCCGGCCCGGCCTGTAACGCTTTTGAGAGGCTTATATCTCAGCAAACGCTGGACCAATTGGCCTGCGGTCTTTTTTGCTCGGTAGCTTCATCCCTTCTACCCCGTAATTGACTACTTTTGATGTATCTCACTGACCGTCGTGGCACGTTGAAAAGTCTGGGTGTTCAAGCTG